TTCTGTGATTCTGTGTGATTCTGTGATACTGCCTGGAAAAGAGGAAGGCTTTGTAACCCTTTGGTTAAGGGCATTAGAGGAAAACTTTTTTTTTTTTAAAGCAATCTTTCAATAATTTCTCACTAATACATTTGTTAAGTATTTTATTATCTTCTTCTTAATTTCATCACAGATGTATTTGTCTACCTCTACAGTGCCACTCATACTTGCTTTATAGTTGATGCCAGGCAATGTGTGGACCAGCTTGTGTAAGCCTTTGCTACTCCCCTGCTCAGTATTGCAGTAAAGCACCTGGTGCAGACAGTCCACTTCCTCACCTGGAGCTCCCCTGCCCGCACTGATAAAGCACAAACTGCAACACCTCTGAAGACAGACTCGGCCAAAAAATTCTCATTCTTGCACTGTTTCCTTTTACCAGAGCTTCGAGCTCACTTTGAGCCAGCATCAGAAACTGAAGGTGGGGACAAGGATGGTGATGAAGTGGAGGACAGTTTCCAGCCCACTGAAGAAAATGGAGCCGAGGATCCTGCCATCACATCAGGAGTCAGCACCCTTAGTTCTGCGGTCTCACAGGAAGCTCAGCAACAGCTTAGCCTGGAGTTGGGCAGACTTAAACAAGAGACCTTAAGGTAACCCTCCGATAAGGACTGTGGCTTTATTTACAGGCAGTCTTTGAAAAGCTCTTGGACATGGCTTCCTACACTGACATGTATGTACACAGCAGAAATACTGCTCAGCTACTACCCTTGCTTGGTATAAAGCAGACCTTCCAGAACACAAATGGATTCAGAATAAGCTGGCAACTCAACAGCCTTCAGTACAAACGTTGTTTCTGTGTAGTATTTTTCTAATTGCAGAACATCATGCTGGATTTCTAGCATTAAGTAAATTAGGCTTGTGCAACTGTGCCTGTTTCCTTTCTACTTCCTTGGCTGCCACCTGACCCAGTGGCAGTGCCCTCAAAGCTGTTCCTGCAAGGAAAGGCCCCGAGCCACTCCACCTGGGGCCAGGCTGCCCACTAATCAGCACAAGCAGAGCTCTGCATGAGCTGCTGTCCCACTTCTCATGGGTTACATTTGCAGGCTGCTGCTGGTGTGTTAACAGCTGAAGGTCCCATTCTTCTTTATGGATATGATGTAAATCTGTGATCAGGAAGTCCCTGGTAAAACATCAGTGTTACACTGTTCAGCAGTAAATTACATTATAAAGGCAGCAACTCTGCCCAGGGAAGCTGCAAAACAATAGGAACAGAATTTACAAGCTCGTCACTAAATTCTGCAAGGATGAAAGCCTTAAAGTGCCACCCCTAAGCTAAGTCTCAGACAACCAAAATGAAACCTGTAAGCCATAAAATATGGTACTAGAGACAGTACCTCTCAAGTGCCTCTGCCCTTTGGTAGTCATTAAAAAATGATAAAAATTGTTTTTTGAGCTAGATTTACTCTCAGTATGGATGTATTTGATCTCTCTCATGTGCTAACAGGCTTTTGGAAAACCTCATTCAGAAGGAGAAAGAGTATCAGACCCTCTTACGGCAATCTTTGGAGCAAAAAACTCAGGAATTACGCTTGCTTCGATTAAAACTTAAACCCGAAGGTATGAGATTGACAGCTGCACATAAATATATTGGATCATGTGTTTGTGTGAAAGACAAGACTGTCTGTTTTGAGCTTCAGTAGTCTGAAAATCACCACTTTTGCCCTAGTTTTGTGGTGTATTAACTTACACGTTTCTTTTTCGTTAAAGACTCTCAATGGTCTCCAGAAATTTTGAGAGAGAATGCAGACCCCGAGCTCATGAACTGGCTGAAACAACAAGGAGCAGACTTCAGTGCCATTAAGAGGGTAAAAAAGATATTAAAACCAAAAAAATAACGTTAAAAAGAGTCATTGTAGTTATAAGTAGCAGTTTGGTTTCAAAGAAGGAATGTTACTAACTTAGGAATAAATTTGCCTTTTAGTTTGCTGAAGAAGATTATACACTAAATGCTGTCCTTAATGATATCACTAAAGACGATTTGCGGCATCTTCAACTGCGGTAAGAAAGTACTGCTTAGTTCATTGTTAAGAGCTTAAAGTAGTTAGTAAAAAACTTTTCTGACATTAGTTAGGTAGGTCAAATAGTGCAGTGGCAACTGCTGTGAAATTCCTCTCCAATGAAGTTTTCCGTATCTTAACTGGTGCAGCAGAACAACTACACCAGGGTGCTTCAAGCCATCCCAGTCCTGACATTTGTCAATGTTGGGAGCTATTTCTGCACCCTTCAGGATGATGTTATCATATGGAAAATAGGCATAAATAAATTATTTTTTCCTACCTACTGATTCAAGTCCTTTCATCATCATTCTGTTAAGCCCTGTCTGACCTGGGAGAAGCTGTTTTAGCTGTGACCTTAAAGAACTGTAGTGTCATAATTGCTGTGTCCTTGGGATTTCTATATTTTACTTCTTGCTCACTTTAGAGCAAAGGAGATGAGGGAGTTCTCCCAAACTGTTCTTCATTCTTCTTCATCCAGGGGTGGTCTCCTCTGCAGAATCTGGAATGCAATATTAAACCACCGACAAACATCTGGTAAGACCTCAGTGCAGGTGGTTAATGCTTCGGAAGGAGAACGTGAAATGGGAATAAGCAAATGAAAGATACATTCCTAACACTAAAATTATTAGATGTATATATGTATGTACAGTGGCCTTGCGGGTTTTGCACAGTTACGTAGCTTGTTTGACCATCAGTGTAATACATAGTGAATAGTAACAGCTTTTAAGGCGGTGTCAATGCACTTAAATTATTTGACAGAGTAATGCAGAAGTCAAATGCCTATCAATGTATGCAATATAATGCATTAGCTAAGAAAAAAACCCAAACTTTTCTGCAAAACAGGTACCATACCTGAATTAGCTTTAGCAGTGCAAAAACTGTGAATTTAAAATGTGTTAGTTCTGCTGGCTGATGGTTTGAGCAAGGAGGGGGAATATGCTAGAGCATATGTCACTTCATAGACAAATATACATAGCTTTTTGTATTAAAGACACACTCACTGCACTACTAAGAAAGCCTGGTGTGATGTTTTCATTTAGTAGTGTTTCTGCAGCAAAAGCATAACATCTAAATGGCTTTTTGGTGGGGTTTTTTGGGGGAAGTGGTTCAAAAAAGAAAGCAAAGCAGGCCACCAGATACATGGTTGGTTGTTTTTTTTAATTTTACACTGTACATAACACATACAGCAATCCAAAGAAATGTCAGTAAAGCAAATATATAGCAATTTAAATAAACAACTGCTTTCTCATAATTTAGCTTCTTCTGTAACATCATTCAGTGTGGTTAAGAAAATCCATACTGAAATGGATTTCCCAACACATTTCCTCTTTTGAAAGAGCTTTTAAATAAGCTTAAGGTTTGTTTCGGAGTCATTATAGTTCCTGTAAATGCATTCACTTATTCTTAAGAATAAGTTATGGCAACAAAAAGGCCTTTAGCTGACAGACTTGTACCTTATCCACTGGTTTGGGCCACGCACTTCAAAGGGTGGCTCATTGAAGTAGATGTGGTTACCTAGTTCTTCCAGTGGTGGCTCAGGGTCAGTGGTAGCAAACTGAGCAGCTTCCTCGATCTCCTTCCTTACTGCCACATCAATTTCCTACACCAAAAATGGATGCTTATTAGAAGACAGCTTAGAAAAAGCAGCATAGTTCTGAATTTGAATGCAATGATTAAGTAAGTATTGGTCAGAATTATTGTTAATGCTTTCGACAAACAAATTAAAAACCTGGGAAAACTTACTTCCTACTAAACTGCAGCATTTGTCCCTTTTGGATAGTACAGGAAACTTATTCCCAGAGGAACATGACCCCACTGAGCCACTATATTTTCAGTTCTGAGAAACTGAACAAAACAGTGAACGGAAGCAAAACTGTGTCAGTGTTGATTTTTTTTTAAACAGAGTTGATGAAAGTATTTAAATTTGCTTAGAGAGTTCCTGGATTTTTTTCACTATTGACAATTTCCCTTTCAGAGACGTACGCCCTTGCTAAATCAAGAAAGCTTGGGGCTTTTTGAACGCTACGTTAGTGTATGACAAGAGCTGTATTTGAAACACTAACACCCACACACAGAGCCTTGCACTGCTCAGTTACACTTGGCACCCAGAAGCAAGACACCTTTCCAGCAGAGCTCAACTTTATTAGTTTGGTCTCCAACAAAACTTCACCTTCACCAGTGAACATGATGTTAAAACAAACGTCAAAGAACAAGTGATGCACACTGCCCCATGATTTGCTTTTCAGAGATCCTTAGCATGTGAATGCTCAAGAGCTTGCTTAAATAGCCACTAAAAGCCATACCTTTAATTCTTCAATACTAGCCAGGTTATTGTTGACCATCCTGTCCTTCAGCAAAGTAATGGGATCGCTTTTGCTTCTCACTTCTTGAATTTCTTCTCTAGTACGATAGCTAGGAGCAAGACAAGCAAAGACATGAACTTCTTCAGTGGTCTCTTTGGGTAGAGGTGAGGTTCTGGACACAGCTCACTTTTAGAAAAAGGTGTGACCAAAGAATAGCCAGGAATGCAATGAACATACAGCAACATTCATCACTCACTCAAAGGGTGGCACAGCTACATCTAGAGCACTTCTTAGCTTTGTAAGCAGCAACTGAGCTGAAGCAGATCCAGACTCAATTATAACATAGGCAGGGAAAAGGGAGCAATCCCAGCCTAAGATAATTACTATGAGGGGCCGTGTTTCCCACCTCCCCTAAGGGGGAGCTAGATAACTCGCTGCGTGCTTCTGCTTCATATAGACAAATTCAGATTTGTAAGCTGTCACAACATCTAAGTTTTTTTAAAACCTGTAAATTTATATTTTTAAGAATTGTTCCACTTACCTGGACAGTCCAAACTGTTCCTATGATTTTAACTTACAGGATTTTAAATACCCTAAAAACCCTGGAAAAGCATGCTGCTTTTCAGTCAAAGCTTAACTAGAACACAGCAGAAGGTCACACTGAAAGCAGAATTCATTAACAGAAAGTACAGAAGTTTAACCAACTTTATGCTTTTTCTAAAACTCAATCTCTTAATACTGCAAGTAAAACAAGTATTTACATGGCCACAGATTATCAGCTGAGTGAAGAGAGGAGTGATCAGACTGCTCACGGCAATTTCATTAGAACCCTTACACACACTTCATAATGGATCTAAACACTGAATCCAGAATTTCAGGATCTTAACCATCGATACTTACTTGTTTTCAGTGAGTGCCAAGAAAGAATGTCACAGTACCTTATTCCAGGGTCACTCATACTGTGGCCATGATAACGGTATGTCTGTAACTCCATCAGAATAGGACCCTTAGAAAGAAAAGAAAAATACAGACAGCATTACCACCGTGAGTGACTGATTTGTTTTTATGGCAGCAAGTGCTTGCTATAGGTGAACCGCACCAGTGATGAATCATTTAAATTCAGTATCTTTTTTCTCAGTTTAATTCATGTAACATTATTACAGTTAGTAAAACAAAACATCTCTTTTCAAATGAAAGCATATATGTTGATATTGTAAGCCTTTATTATGTTCTTGAGCAGCATTAAGCAACTTCTTCTCTTCCAATGTCACTCCACCATTACTCAGACTATTTCAAATTGCCTGTTGTTTCACTCTAAGATTGTAACTCACAAACTTATTCATCTGTAGGAACCTCTTTCTTTTTCTCTTGTACATTTCCAACACAAATGTTTTTTCACCAAATACTAAAAATCTTCAAAACCAGCCCATCATACTTGGGTGACAGATGGTAATGCTGACTCACAAAACTTTTACTTTACTTTCCATTTGTTGTAAATATAGACCAATTACTACTTTCCTTGATGCCTCCCCTAATCAATCTTTTCACAAAGAACTCAACTGCCTGACAGCCAGAACACCTTTCAAAACAGAACTTAACTGGGGTAGAGATGGGGAAAACCACAACAGAGTATCAGGATATATATGTGTATATATATATATGTGTATA